GATACAAGCTTCGAAGCCTCGGTGTCGAACGTCACATCACTAAATATAACTCTTCCTCGTCGAACCCCCGGCTAGTTATGGTATGGAGAGGCCGACTAGGGTGAATGAATTCTGGGAACAGAGCGAGACAGATAGGACCAGCGCGCGCAGGAGGACGCACCTGCGGACAGGTGTCTGACGGAACCGTCCGGAGTCTGCTGGACCGGCTGCGCTCGTTCATCCGAACCCTCCGCCGGCTCCCGGTGTCGCTGCTGAGAGCTCTCCTCCTGCTCCTCCTGTGTCTGATCCGGCCGATCCGCCGAGCAATGGCGGCCAGGGCCAAAGACCGCAGCTCCGAGGGCTGCGAGGAAACCGGAGAACTGATCCGAAACTACCACAAACAAGCGTTCGAGTTCATTTCTTTGGCTCTGCAGATCGATGAGGATGAGAAAGGTATCTGGCTTTATTGCTGTTATGTATCTAAAATATGTGTAAATATCTGAGAGAAAAAAATACATTTATAAAACCGCTAATTTGGTCTGTAATCTGTATTAAATTATTTATTTTATAAAACTAAAAAGTCAGTTAAGTAGCAAATGTGAATGAATACCATAGTTAGTATATGAATACTGTAATCATTAAGTATCATGGTGATACCATCGCTTTATCATGGTACCGCCTCACTTTTTACAAGGTTCTTTTTGTACTTTCTGTAAGGCTCCTTGTGTTTTATTGTTTATGTAAACAGGAAATATTTCACTGTCCATTCCACAAATGCAAATTGTCTTGCGCTTACACACGTTAGATTTTGTGTTTGGTTTTACTTTCACTTCATCTGTCCAGGAGTTGCCCCCCATTTGTTGGCATTTCACTAGTCGTATGTGAAGTAGTGCTCAGAAGATATGAATATCCAGTGCAAATATCAATAACTAGAGATTGGGCTGTATATATATACACTACCATTGAAAAGTTTTTAATGTTTAATTTTTTCTGAAATATATTAATTATTTTATTCAGCAAGGATGCATTAAAACTGATCAAAAGTTTTTCTAACTCTTGTATTGCTACAAAAACAGTCTATTTAAAAAATAAATGCTGTTGTTTTAAACTTTCTATTCATCAGATAATCTTAAAAAAGTATAGTGTTTCCACAAAAATATGAAGTGGAACTGTTTTCAACAGTGATAATTATAAGAAATGTTTCTTGAGCAGTAAATCAGCATATTAAAATAATTTCTGAAGGATCGTGTGACACTGAAGACTGGATTAAAGATGCTGAAAACTCCATCACAGGAATAAATTACATTTCAAAATATTTTCAAATAGAAAATAGTTATTTTAAATTCTATTAATATTTCAAAATAACATTTACATTTTGATAACATTTTACATTAAAAAAATTCTAAACTTTAGTTTATATATTCCATTTTTTATATTATTTTATGTATGTATAACAGATATTATTATTTTATTTTTAAATGTGATTTTAAAAAGATTGTGACCTAGATTTGTTCCACTCGTCATGTGGTTATGTTGTTTTTCGCTCTGTAGTCTCATGGAGAGATGCCAGCGGCAGCAGTGAAAACAAAGAACAAACTCTGTTCAATAGGTTCATTGGCTGTTTCTCAATCCCATCATGCCCAGGGCCATATGGTTGGGCCTGCATGACATTTAGCACATACTGATTTATTTTAAGAGCATATTTCCAATTTAAAGCTCCTTTTGGAAGCTTTAATGAATCGTGAATTGTTGTTTCAATTGTTGTTGTCGCTTTGGATAAAAGCGTCTGCTAAATGACTAAATGTAAATGAATTGTATCTGAAAGTTTTCCTTTGAAACCCAGGCATGTTGGTTTAGGCTTGCAGTATTATTATTTTGTATGTATAATCCCTGCAGAATAGAAAACAGTCAGTAATGTGTCTGATCTATTCTGCGTGCGGTGTTGTAGGTGATAAGGAGCAGGCGGGGCAGTGGTACAGGAAAGGCATCGCTGAGTTGGAGAAAGGCATCTGTATCCAGGTCACTGGAGCTGGTGAGATGATTCAGTCATACTGATTTCCGTTAGTGTGCAAACAAACTATGTGATGATGTGTTTTGATTACACTAGCTTTTATTTTTAATTTCAAGACCGAACGCAGCCTGTATTATACTTCAGTACATTTAAAACAATTTCATGGTTTACACTATTTGAACAGTGATTGCAAGAAAATTGCAAAATTGATTGTAAAAAATCTGTAGTGGTCCTGATGCGTTGTGTGAGCCCGGTTTGACCCTATTTTCTTTCTTAATGTTCATTCCGGACTTAAAGTACACTTAAAGATCAATCAATTCCCAAGTACCACCCTGCAGTTTATTTTCTTCTGAAGACATTTGAGAGAAAGTCTTCATCTGGCTCTTTTAGGGGAGAAGGCAGACAGAGCCAGAAAGCTTCAGGACAAAATGACCAACAACCTCACCATGGCCCAAGACCGGCTGGAGCTTCTGGGTAAGCGGATGCAGTGAGGGCACGAGGATGTGCTGCTGATTCGTGAGCTCTTCTGAGAGATGAGGGCATTTGTTGTGTTTGCACGCTCTCCGGAGAGGGACGTTCGCCGCACTCTTCTGTGAAAGCCTTCCTGTGCTTCTGTGTGATTGTTAAATGATTCAAGTCAGTTTTATGCTTGATCATATAAAGGTGAAGTGTTGTTTCATGTTGGAGACAAATGTGTTGAAATTAGGACTTACTTATAGTTGCCTCTACACATTGAAATGGAAGATGATTAAGCATTTTAAAAAGACACTTCCCTTTTATTGACTCAACCATTGTTACACACACACACACACACACACACACATTGCATTTGTGGTTTACGGGGACTCTCCATAGTCGTAATGGTTTTTATACTGTACAAACTGTATTTTCTATCGCCCTACTACACCAACCCTACACCTAAACCTACCCTTTACAGAAAACTACTGGCAATTTTTGAATTTCATAAACACTGTTTTGTATGTTTTTTTTTAAGCCTTTTGTTTTACGGGGACACAGGAAGTGTCCTCATAAACCATATATACCAGAACACACACACACACGCTTTTCTTATTTCTCTCTCAACATATATCACTTTCTTTGTGTTTCTGCTTTGGTTCTTGCATGAATCTGTCAAGAAAGCAATCAAGAACATGTCCAGGTCACCCCAAAATCAAAAGAAAAAAATATTTAAAGTTAATGCAAAGAAAATAATGACTTATTTTATTTTATTTTGCTTTATTTTATTTAGTTTTATTTTATTTTTTGCGAACTTTGTGACATTTTCATGACATTTTACTGTCATTTACTTTAAGGCCAAACAATTATGTAAACAATACTGTTTTTGCAGTAATGAAAAGTAAAATGTGTGTAATTGTCCCAATAATAATAATAATAAATACAAATTATAAAGAATAAAATTATAAAATTATAGACTTCAGTTTACTTAAAGGAGTCATATGATGTTGCTAAAAAGAACATTATTTTGTGTATTTGGTGTAATGAAATGTGTTTATGCGGTTTAAAGTTCAAAAAACATACTGTACATTATTGTTTCTCCTCTATGTCCCGCCTTTCTGAAACGTGTCGATTTTTACAAAGCTCATCGGTCTGAAAAAGCGAGGTGTGCTGTGATTGGCCAGCTATCCAATGCGTTGTGATTGGCCGAATACCTCAAGCGTGTGACGGAAATGTTACGCCCTTACCGTACTGTGATGCCGTGTCAGGCCGGAGCGACTAGACAAAAACATTCAAACCCATTATAAACGAGGCATTTGTTGCATCCAAAAATATATACAGATTATAATGACTTACTCTGTCTT